CCTGGGTGACGGCTGTTGGGTGAGCAGTGAGCAGTGAGCAGTAAAGGAAGAACTTCAAGACGCGAAGCCAAGCCTGAACCCTTTTCACACTGATATTGCTGATGATCCAAATCCTGCATTACCTAAAGGACCCTAAACTATGGGAATTATGGTATGGTATCTTCCTTATTATGGGTAATGCAGGGTTTATATCATCAACCGTACTTCCTATGTAACTACGGAGCCCTTAAAGAACCTATGTACATGCATAATCACCCGCATCAATAGATGACTATGAATAGAGATGACTACATGTGTATATACTGTTACATTTGTTACATAATTCCATAAAGACCCGTTTTCTTTATATATATATATAGATATGCATATATATATATATATGTACATCCTAGAACACGGATAGTAGCCCTGATAAGATCCCGTTTAAGGAGCCCTAAAAAAGACAGCCGGAGGTAGCTGAGGCGAAGCATCGGGAGAGCCAGAAGGAGCAGTTTCGGGTGCTGCACTTAGAGGGGCTTAGGGTTTAGAGCCTGTTGTTGTTTATGGGTTCTAGGGGTTTAGGGCTTTAGGGGTTTTGGGGTTTTGGGGTTTTGGGTTTTACGGGTTTGGGGTTTTAGGTGTTTTGGGTTTACGGTTTTCGGGTTTAAGGTTTTAGCTTGCGGGTCTTAAGGTGCAGGGTAGGGTTTAAGGTTTAAGGGTTAAGGGGTTAGGGCTTAGCACCTGCTGCGCGCCCAGTGGTTTAAGGGTTTTGGTGGGTTTCTTGTCAGGCTGCCTCTTGAGGCGCTAAGGGCTCTGTATACTATAAACCCGAAAGCCTAAGCCCTAAACCATAGTTGGAGGGTCGGGGGACTTAGTCAGCAGTTATATTTTTATAGAGCTATAAGTACCATAACCCCAATGAGAATCCCGTTTATGGCACGTATAACTCTACTTCTTACCTACTTGCTAAGTCCTCCGGCCATCCAAGTAAGGGTACCCTAATAATCATATACTCTCCCAAATACTAACCTAGAAAACTACTATCCGCAACC